GCGATTGCCCAGCAAATGCGAAGGTGAGGGGGCGTATCCGCCGAGGGGCGGAGCTTGTGGGGTAGGGTCTGGGGCCTGGGGGCTTCCCGGGAGAGAGAGGCGCTTCCGTGGTGGAACCTGCAGTGTGCCCGGCGGGGAGGGCGCGGGGGCCGCGCTCGGGCCTCCTGGAGCTCAGAACACTGGTCGAAACCCAAGTAGCGTCCATCCCGCGTAGTCGATGACGTGATAGGGGAGGCATAGGGTTTTGGGGGGCCAGGTGGGGAGCATGTGATGCAGCCAGCAGCTGGGGAGACCGTGGCTAGACCGATTCGGGGAAGGCTTCCCAGGAGGCGCCTGAGGCATAACCAGGAGTAAGCCACGGAAAGAGAAAGAAGCTACTTAGTGACCGAGAAGGCAAGAACAGGTTTGAGGAACTGAAAAGTTCACCGCTGACATGTCTTGCGGGAAGAGGAACCTGAGACCATCCCCTTTGTGCCCTCGGCCCACCTTGTCGCCCCCATGAAACTGAGCACCTGGGTGACAGGCTTGCAGGCATGGCATAGAAGGGCCTTAGACACCCGCGCCCAGAGTGCCTGTTAGACACGCAGTAAATGGTTTCGTAACGAACAGGACAAATGGTGGTCCCAGATTGTTGAGTGAACGTTGGGAGGGGTGGGGGACGGACCGGGCCTCTGAAGGGCTTCTCTGTCTTCCAATGACTTTCTCCAGTTTATTCTCAAACCTTAGAATCACGCCTTAAAGCTGACTCTTAAATACGTTTTATCCTCCTTCAAAGCTGAAAGCTAGATGTTCCCTGAGCACTAGGAAGGGATGGCCCGTAATCCTTCCATTTGCGAGATTGAAGGTCACATGCTCCAGAAATAAGCCGGCATCACTGTTAAGCTCCCCCCCCCTCCCCGCACCCCCCATGGGAATGGATGCCGGGGTGTGCTACCCTCAGTCTCTGAGCTGAAACCAGTCAAGAGGTGGTTTTCCTTTCCCTCAAACTCTAGGCCGCCCTGCGACCCGAGACAGCGTGTGCTTCCCCTTTATGTTTTAGTTCCGTTTCCAAAAAACCCCTACTGCTTGTGTTCTCATCCTTCGAGCAGCTCACATTTTTTTCCCCAGGAGGCATTCATGGAAGTGGAGAGCTGGCAAGGATCTTTCTTCTTCCAGAACTTTCTCCACCAACCTCATTTGGTAGATAGTGGATGGAGATTCACTTAAGAGAGTTTCTGTTATAGGATGGCTTGGCAAACTCCAACCATAGGCTGCTCATAATTACTATTGCTTTTATTATTATTATTATTATTATACCTTTATTTTTAAGTGCTGACTGTCTGGCCCACAAAGCCTGCCTCCTGTCTCAGTGACCTGGGTAGAACAGGCCTTGACACAGAGGAAGGAGAACCTGCCCAGAAAATGAGGGGGTGGATGTCTATGAGGGTCTGGGGCTTGTGCCATGAGTCTCCTTGGAGTCTGACTTGGGGTGGGAACCCCAGAGGAGGTCTTGAGGTTTGGAAGGTTGGGAAGCAAGCTGGCGGTTATTGGGTTTAAGAGAGGAAGGATGTTCCAACTCCCCACCTCCCCCCAGCCTGGAATACTGCACACTGAGGGCGTAGGAGACGGGTAGAAACAGCGCTCAGAAAATGATGAACTTGCAGAGTGCAGGCAGGATGGGAGAGGGGAGATGCCCTCAAGTCATTTCAGACTCTGAGATCATCGGAGTATCGTTTGGAATTTCCATGTCTTCCAAGTTCAAATAAATAAGTTTTCACCAAAGAAGCCTCCAGGGGATGTTATTTATTTTGGTGGTGAATTGGTTTTCTCTCAAACTCTGCCGTTAGTGTTTTGACAACACGGATGGCATTCAGCCTGTGGAAGGCACTCTATTCAGAGGTGCTACAAGCACTGTCTCTGTCAGCAATATTGAAAAAGTATTCGGCACGCACAGAGTCCCAGACAGTGGAAACACGGAAGGCATGCAACGCACAATGCTTACTTTGAGGGAGGACCAGTTTGCAGTCCATTTGGAGAGACTCGTGAGATGGCCAAAGGCCCTTGGTGAGCACATGCAGCCTTTAGAAGTTCCAGAAAATCAGAAGCACCTGGGATGGACCCAGAAGGACTTCCTGAAGGAGGAGGCTTTTAAAGCGCGGCCGACAGAATGGGCCGAGAAGGCCCTGGAGTGCATGCAGCCCGTACCTCAAGCAAGGCACCCTGGTGGCCTATCGTGGGTGACACGTTGGCTGCTAGCCACAAGGTTGACCCCACCAGCCTCTCTGAGGGGCAAAGGTGAGGCTGGCTGCTCCTATAAAGATTGACAGCTTGACAGCCTTGGAAACCCGAGGGAGCAATTTTACCCTGGCCTTTAGGGTTGCTGAGTCAAAATCAGCTGATCACAGTGGGTTTGGGTTTGGTTTACGGCCTCAGGCACCTCAAACCCTGAAAACTCAAAAGTATTGCCTTTGAGTTGATTCTGACTCACAGTGACCCTAACCCTACGGGCTGTGAAGCAGTCGCTGTTTCTGGGGGCAGAGAGCCTCATCTTTTCCCCATGGAGCTGCTGTTGAGTTTGAACCCCAGACCTTGCAGTTGTCAGTCCAACGCTTCCCGACATCGCCACCCTGGCTCCTTCAGACACCTCAGAATCCGCTCATTGCCATCCAGGCAATTCCGACCGATAGGCCAGGGTAGAGCTGCCCCTGTGGATTTCCTGTAACTCTACAGGAGTAGAAAGCCTCGCCTTTCTCCTGTAGAATGGTTTCGAACTGCTGACCTTGCAGTTGGCAGCCCAGCTCATTACCCACTATGCCCTGGGGCTCCTCTCCCAAGGTAATTATTTGTTTACACTTCTGTCTACTGTTTTCCCAGTCAGCTTGACAGCAAAAGGTTCGGTTCAGGTTTCCTGCTCTTTCTGAGTGTGTCTGGAAGGGAGGGCCCTGGCTGGACTCTCTGTGTCCCCAGGCAGTGGGAGAAGGAAAGAACAAATAAACTCACCTAAGTGCTTGGAACCAGGCCTCTGGAGGCAGGCGCACAGTAACTTGGTAGGAATAAAGAGTTACTGTTGAAACTTTGTGTGAAACCCAGCAACAAAATAACCATACACCAGCTGATGGAATCCTGTTTCCCAGGTGTTGTGTTTGTTATGTTCGGGTTATGCAGCGGGTGGTGGTTCTCTAGATGCATGACCACGTCTTTAAGGGTCACGGGGCCCACAGTGTTCCCGCTGATGTTGATAGTGGTTTGGGTAAAGCTTTATAGAGCAACTTCGTTTTTCGCTCAACCACCCAGACACAGGGTGTTCTGGGACGTTGATTGCAACCCTCCGGGATAACAGCACCTCTCTGGATTCTGTTTCCACTTGCCCTACCTCCCTGGCCTTTCCCTACTTCCCAGCTTTGTTTCCGGCCAACTGCTGCCATTTCCGTTGTAGCATGCCTTCCAAACAGTGCAGCAAGCCAGCGCGTCCTGTGTGCTGGAGAGATTGTGGGCCGTGGTTACCCGTGGTGGGATGCCGGTGGGCTGTGGGTAGTTGCCCATTGTGCGGCTCTTCCTCGTGTTTGGAACTCACTCACCCAGTGAGATGGAGGACAGAAGAGGGGACGTGAGCAGGATGGGGAACAGCAGCCGCCGCTGTGAGGGCACCACGGTTTCACCATGGCAACTCCGTTTGGTGGTCTGGAAAGCAGGAACCTGGCCTGCAGTGTTCTCGGCCTGCCTGGGTCTGTTTTTCTTGGCGGTCCCTTGTTGAGGGGCGCAGGTGGCACTCCCACCAACCGCTTCAGCACGTGGCTAAGAAACGAGGTGTCAGAGTTGAAAGCCACTCATAGCTCGGTGGGAGAAAGATGTGGCAGTCTGCTTTGGTAAGGGACAGTCTTACCCTGCCCCACTAGGGTCGCTGTGAGTCAGAATCGGCTCCGTGACAGTGGACCTGGGTCCCTGCCGCGGGCACTCATGGCTGTGCTGGGCCCCCTCCACAGTGTGTAAGTACGTGGCTGTGGAGCTGAAGTCGGCCTTTGAGGAAACGGGCAAGACCAAGGAAGTGATTGACACAGGCTACGGTGCCCTGGACCGGAAGGCCTCTGGAGTCAAGTACACCAAATCGTAAGTCCCTGACAGCCTGGGGGCCTGGCTTCCCTTCTCTCTCCCAGTTAGACAGCCCCCACCCACCGCCTCAAGGGGCCAGCTCACACCAAGACAGGACTTCCCCACTGCTCCTGCCATGCCACCTTCATAAACCCTCCGATTCAGCTTCCGGTTCCTCACCTGTAGAAGCAAGACTGGTGGGCTCCAGCAGGGAATGTCGTGGACCAACGAATGCTTTTTTTGTTTTCCCCCAAACCGTCTTACTAGGAGCTAATCCAGACATGAGACCATTCCATAGTTCAGTCACGTCAAGCAGCGTCCTACAGTTGCTACCACAGTCCGTTCCACAGCACTTTCTTCCTGTTTGAACTCCTTGACATCAGCTCCCCTTTACCCCACCTGCCCCACCGGACCCCCCAGGAGCCCTTCTACTTGCTGTCTCTATAGAGTATCAGTCCTGGGATTCATATTCCAAACAACAGAGAAACATGTAACAAAGATTCAAGAAGGCTCCCCATCATACACAATACATGAGAGAGAAAGCCTAATAAGAACAAACAAACACCAAAACACAGAAAATATTGAAAACCAGATCGAGCCGCCAGGTATCAGACACCAGATCAAGTGATAGGGTTTCAGCTGTTCACGTCAGGTTGATCGGTTTACTGTCGTCATCTCGCCGACACTGTGCCATGTTTTAAAACTGTTGGTGACACAGGGTTGCCCACTTTTGATGCTGCTGGGAATGAAAAGAAAACCCAGCTTCCGTTCCTCTCCAGTCATCACGAAACACCCATCCGCTGCCATTAAATCCCATTGTAACATCCAAATGGAAAACTTGGGGGGGGGGGGAAACAAACCTCCGATAATGTTCTTTTAAAATTCCATCTTCTCAGAGTCTTGCCTTAGACCCGTTACACGTTTCTCTCTCTGGTCTACGTGCCAGCGTGTCGGAGCCCCCAGACCAGGTGACGTAGCTTCCTCCCAGCCCTGCCTCCCATTGGCGAGTTGCAGTAGCAGAACTGGGGCGGCAGGGCTGGAGGGCCGGAGCCCTCTGCCCCTGGGGCCAGAGGGGAGGTGCTCAGTCCCTTGTGTGCTGCTGTCTGGCAGGGATCTGCGGTTGATCGAAGTCACTGAGACCATCTGTAAGAGGCTCCTGGACTACAGCCTGCACAAGGAGAGGACGGGCAGCAACCGCTTTGCCAAGGTGGGCTGTGTGCTGGTGCTTATTCCCCAGAGGACATGTCTGTGGCTGCTGGTGGGGTGCCGTGTGAAGACCTGCCCTGGGCGTGTCACCTCCTGGCCTCTCCACTGTCTTCATTGACGGCTGCTTGCCGCCTCTCCTCAGCCTGCCATCCTGGGTGGCTTGAGTCTTTCCTGGCATGAAGGACATTCATCATGCCCTGGGCCTGCCCAACAGGGCTCTACCTCCGTCTCAGCCACTGGCAGGAGTGGCCCAGGGTGGCGGCTCCTGGGAGGCCTAAGTCACTTGAGCAGAGAAAACTGAGTAGAGCCCAGGATATGGAGAAGTGGGGTGTGTGTGTGTGTGTGTGTAGAGGTCATCAGGAGACACTTGGTGGGTGGTGGTTACCCATCCTTCTCAGCTCACACAGCCAATCCCGGGACCCCTCCAGGGTGCCTGGTCCCACACCAGGCGCTCGCTGTCTGCATCTCTCCCTGTTGAGCGAACCTCTGAATCAGGCCCACGTCTGCCTGTGGCCTGGCACGTGGTCGGAGTAGGGGAGTCACTCTCACAGCTTCCACCATGTAGTCTTCTGGGGAAGCGATTGCCCTCCAGTCCCTAGAAGAGAGCTCAGGGCACAATTGGGAACAGCAGGCGTTTTCGCTCTTTGGTCGGTGGGACTTTTGTATTCGACAATAATAAACTCACATTTGCGTGAATATAAAAAAATGTTAAAAATTAATTTCCTTAGCAAAAGATGAGAGCTCACTAAATTGTCAGCAGTAGGGGAGTAGTTCAATAACTAGATAAGGTCATTTGATGAAAAATTATGCAAACAGTGCCAGCTTACAGCGACACCATACATAGGCTAGGGCAGATAGAACTGCCTCTGTGGGTTTCCGACAATGTCACTCATCACAGGAGTAGAAAGCCCTGGCTTTCTCCCAGGGAGCGGCTGGTAGTTTTGAACTGCTGACCTTGCAGTTAGCAGCCCAGCATGTAACCACGATGCCGCCAATGCCCTTTGAATAGTAGGCAGCTATGAACAAGGAAAAGAGGTTGCTCTTGATGATTGGGAGTAAAATCATCTCCAAGATCCATTGTTATGTAACAAAAGGCAGGTTCAGGGTTATGAGTGTGCTCTGCTGTCGATGGTGCAGAAAGGATGTGTGTGTGTGTGTGTGTGTGTGTGTGTGCGCGCGCCTCGTATTTGTATGAACTACCACATATAAAGGTAGAGAAAATGTCTGTGTGTCTGTATGTGGTCTCCGAGAAGACCTGCCTATCTGGGAGAGAGATGGTCACAAAACGAAGGGTTTTTCCTGCTTCGGTGCCACTCCTGTCTTACCCAAGGAAAAACCCACAGGACGAAGCTGGAGCCGGGCCTGGCACTGAGGGAGTCAGGAACCGAGTGTGCCCAGCCAGTGGGG